GTACAAATTTCACAATGAAAATTGTGATGAGCAAGGGAAACAAAAGCATGATAAAATACAAAAATATGCTCCAGGATATCCAGGATATCTAAGAAAAGGCGGAATATGCATTCCAAAAGAAGCATGCTCGAAACAAATAGATCTTCAAAACGGATGTGATGTAAATGAAGAATATTACGAATATGAACCCTGTCAGCAAACATGTAACGACTTGGATTCCAAAAATTGTGATAAAGGTGAAAGAAAATATTCGCCAGGTTGCTACTGCAGAGAAGGATACTTGATGCAGAATGGTATTTGCATACCAAAAGAAGATTGTTATAACAACGCTAAGGATATGATGAAAGAATGTCCTATAAATGAAAGGTTTCTAATATATAAACCTTGTCGAGAAAGATGTGACGATTCAGAGTATGGAAACTGTGACAACTCTAACCAACACGCCCCTGGCTGCTACTGCGCCAAAGGGTACTTGCGTAAAGACGGCGAATGTGTGCCTGAATATCAATGTTCTGATTCAACTGAAAGCAATTCTGCCTCACAGCTATAATAATGGTTAAAAATATGACATTAATACATATAAATAAAGATATCAGGAATATGTGAAATAGTTTTCACTAGCTTTTATTTTTTATATACCCCATAGTGTTGTTTGCTATATATTCTAAGAAAAGAAAATCTGTTATTTTTGTGCTGGTGGACTGTTGTGATTTGACCTACTCACCCATCTCCAATTATATAGCTTAAGCTACATACAACTGTCATTCTCGAATACTTTAGGTCAGGGGTATTAGAATTATTCGTACTTGTTAAACAATGCTTGTTTGGGGCATTGTTACTTAGCTGATGAATAAACATTGCTTATTGATCAAGACAGTTCGTTTAATTTCCCTCTACACCCCGTTGTGATTAAAAAAAGCAGTGGCAATAATTAACAGAAAGTACATTGACCTCATACAAAATGTGCCCTTATCCTATTTTTGGGCCGATGACAATACAAAAAAGGAATCTAGAAAAAATTGTATTTGCAAATTTTGAAAATTCTGAAATTTGGAGAATAGCCTGAGGATTTGTAAATTTTGAGGACAAGGTGAAAATTTCGCAATTTGAATAATTTTAGAATTTTGATAAAATCTGGAGATTTTTAAATTGTTTGATTATAATACGTTTTGTTGCCGCTTTGAGACTAAAAATTACAAAAATAAATTATAGTTTAAGAAATCAGAAAACAGGACTTAACAGCAAATCGAACTGAAACATAGACAATAATTTTTAAGTATGGGAGAGTGTAAGATAATGACAAAACATGCAATTATAGTAAAAAAGCGTAGGGTGAAATTAACAAAATTTTCGTATCTCCAATTTTGTAATTGAATAGCAACTAATATTAAATATCAAGCAACCCACGCTTTCATATTTATATTCTCCTTTTGGAAGGGTATCTCCGAATATGCAATAATTCATGGAACATTCTATCAAAAATATTGTCAAAATTTGTCCATTTTCAGATAAACCCTTCCAAATGAAGAATACCGATATCACATACTATAACGCTTTGATTATAGTTGCTGAGTTATAATCAATTCAATGTAAAAACATGCTCAACGTTGACAGCCTGCAAGTTCGCTATTTTGTAAGATAGTGATTTCATATTCAACGGTTATAAAGCACACAGGATTCTTCAAAATACAACAAAATGGTGCCCTACCACCAACTTTGAGTTTTTGCTTGTTATATTTACGTTAAATTGTAGTAATTATGGGTCCATACATCATTCCGAATTTCAGCTTCCTAGCAAGACCAGTTCAAAAAATAAGTAGGACGATCCTTTTTGAGAAGCACGATCTAAACAATACAAATTTACAAACCCCTAATAAAATTACACGAAACTGCCATACCACCACTTTCGAGTAATTTTCATTTAAGGTCGAATTATTGAGTTGAAGTTGTTAAATCTTCTTTTGGTTGAGTCGTTTTCACTTTTAAAAAGCAACTGAAGCCCAGCATCGGTTGTGTAGAACAACATTGAATCTCAATGGGAACCAACTAAGTGAATTCAACACTAAATGTATATAATTGACGACTTCAGGACTTGTACATGACATGATCAGATGATAATTTTAATACTGAAGCTACATAGCTCTGCTAGATATACAAGCAGACTAACCGTGTCGAACTTCGTACATCCAGAACTGGCCGATACAACCGCTCCTTTGTCCCTAGGGTATCGAGATTGTGAAACGATTTACATAAGGAGGCTTTTCCCAGTTCTACTATCCTTAAGCAGTTTAAGAATCAAATTATCAAAGTTCCTTTAAGCACCTCATAGCAGCTGCGGTGCCTGGCGTTAAGGTGTCTGCCTGCGCGGCTGCTTCAGTGTAAAAAATATGGTTGGTGATAGCCAACCTTAGGCCCGTATCGTCAGTCGTCCCTACAATTGTAGGGCGCCTTTATGGCCTCCTTGATTGTCATAGTTTTCTACTTCTCCGTGTCAGAACTCTATTTTGAGGTTATGTCACAAACATCTATTTGCATCAAATTATGCTTGCTTTTGAGTTATATCATGTTTTATCAGCATGAAATTTCCTACAATTTAAAAAGAACACATATCTTCACAATAGGAGAGCGCTGACGCTGACACGGGACAAGTGTAATCTAGAAATTTTAGAAGGAGAGAAAGGAGTATGACAGTCAAGGAGGCCATAAACGCGCCCTACAATTTTAGGGATGACTGACGATACGGGCCTTAGAAACTAACAATAATACCACTCCCATCAGTTTATATTTTTGAAGTGACACTTCGAGTACTGTATAGAACCGCCTTTCTTTCTCTCTCTCTCTCTCTCTCTCTCTCTGCAGAAATATACATCCATCCACTATGTAATACACCTAAGGGGAATGTCACATATCTCATTTTTACTGTGGTCGTTCGCACCAGTACTTACTGATGGTTTTGTCAGTGTCAGTAGACATCTACGTAATCTTGTGCATCAATAATTGCTGACATACTGGCTACAAGGTAAATGAATATGACATACCATCGTAAATACTGACGGATTATAGTAAATACTGGTCGTGTGACATTCGCCTAAGGAATCCATACTGACGTTTAAAGTAATAGATCTAAAATAGGGCATGTAATTTTGAAGATATGTCTTATCGTTGCTGTTAAAGGTTTGCCAAATAGTACATTACGTACTATTATTGTCAGAACACTTTGCGCTATGCGCCTCGGGATATGAGGACAGTAATGTCCTCCTCCACCGAGGAACGGATATATTTTTTTTTACTACAAACGATGTCGTATTGCCATATTACATTTGACTGAACTTCTAAACTCAGCACATCTGATAATTATCTGAACATCTGGCAACACTGTCCAAATAAAGCAGGCGAAATGTCTGGATCACAGAACGGTGCATGGGAGAGGGACTCTGCTTCTACATGATACGTCGACACATCATTCGCTTCCCACTCATTTCCCATAATACTCCAATATATTAAGTAGCATGGGACCTCGAAGCTGGCAAAATAATGACATAAATACATACAATCAACAATAATAATCTGTTTGTTTGCTTGTTTCAGATTTATTTAGCATTAATCAATATAAATAATATCCATATTACACAGTATATCACAAAATATATTAGGTCTGCAAGACTACATATTTTAATACAAAATTTCACTACTATGAATTCTGGGTTTCCATGAGATATTTTTTCAATTTCCCTTTGAACATTTTCAAACTGACACACGTCTTGATATCATTACTTAATTTATTAAATTCGTACAATCCCTTTCGAAATACTGACTTGTTAGTTATATTGCTACTGTAGTTTTGTAAATGAAAGTCTATACCTCCTCTAGTAGAATAATTGTGGCACTCATTGTTCAATACAATAAAATTTTCTAAGTGATCTGGTAGAAGATGATTTTTTAACTTGAATATGGAAATAAAAACTAAGTAGTCTATGAAATGTTTGATGTTTAACCATTGTAGTTCTTTTAGCATAAAATTTATTCTAGTATATTTATTTTTATTTAAGATGATTCTCATAGCTTTATTTTGTAATATTTGTAATTTTGAAAATACAGTTTCATTTGCAGTGAACAAAATAGTCGAACAATATAACAATTGAGGAAGAATGATAGTGTTGTACACAATTTTTTTACAATAAACACTTAGGCTATGCAAAATTCTATAAAAGTAATTTATTTTCTTGGATATTTTTGAAATAATATATTCTAAATGCCCTATATTTAAACGATTAGATTGACACAATTTTTTTATGATTAATTGTAAGATCGTATTTTGATCTAAAGATTTTCCTATTAGCATATATTTTCTTTAGTTTGTGTTTAGTTTGAATTCATTTAATTATTATTTAAATAACCAATTTATTACGTTTTTCATATCATCATTTAACAGCTCTATTGCAGTTTCAATGTCTCTATTTGATATATATATATATATATATATAGTAGTGGACCTAATTTGCTACCCTATAGCACACCTACCGAAAAGTTTTTAATGTTTGATAATGTATTGCCAATTTGAGTTCTTTGACTTCTATTGATTAAATAATTTTGTAATAAATTGAATATTGAACCTTGAAATCCATAGCAATGCAATTTTGTTAACAATTTCTCCCTTTCAACAGTCTCAAATGCTCTCTTGAAATCTAAGAACAATGTTACTGTAAACTTTTTTCATCCATATTTCGCCTCCATTCTTCTACTACCATTTGAATTGCTGTTTCAGTAGAATAAGATTGTCTAAAAAATCCGATTCAGAATATTTTTCACATGGTATTAGGTCTTCTTTTTTAAAAGGTGACCAATTGTAGTTGGATTTAACTCAACTTTCTGCCGTGGAAATCTTACCAGTGGTTTTTTAATACCCCCACTATTTAGTATTCTGCAAATTTTTCAGAAAACTAAAAGTGCTCCGTTAGACAATGTTATTAAATGAAATAATACGCTTCATGTTTAAGTATCTATTCAAGAGCTACTTACTGTAGTAGAATCAACTAAAGGATAACAAAAACAAATGACACGCCAGTAGGAAAAAACCTGGGAAATTATTTGGAAGAGTTCTGATGAGCTTTTTGGTGCTGCACACCATTTAACTGTTCCGTTCAATAAAAATCCTACAAAAAAGCATGCTTACAGTATTTAAGCCACGTGAACGACCATGCTTTAGACTACTGAAAAAATTGTAATCAATGCTGGATTAAGGTTTTCCCTCTTGAGATTCCACTTGAGTAATTCTACAGTACTACACCATTGGGTCAGTGAACGGGTCAGTATGCAGACATTTCGGTATTCCGAATATATCGTCCAACATATTTGTGGCCAAGCTCACAGCCATGTCTTCAGCATCACTTCCCGCCAATGCTATAAAAGGGTGTTCTTCACTAAGGATTTCATCAGTACTATTGGGAGGAGACAATGGTACATCCTGTTAGTCAGAGGACTCAGAGAAGCGTTTTGATGGGGTGATATCTCGTCCTTCTTTTACGGATACGCTTGCTACGCTACCAGTATATTGGATTTCCACCTGGGAACAGGAAAATTTTGGATTAGTATTTACAGTTTTTCTTTTCTATTGTTTATTATAAATGGAAATGAATTTCACAATTGCTGCCAGGTGTCTGCAACTTATTTTTCAGTTTCGTAATCCTTAATGTTCCTGTCTATTGTGAAAATCCAATAGTTTTTGTTTCTAAAATGTTAAGTATAAGCTGTCCCGTTATAAATTAACTGTCCTAGATTTTCTGTATGACCCTTTAGCAGAAAATTGCTATAAAATAAAGTTATATATTATTATTAATCTTAAACAATATAGTCCTGTGATCAGATAGAGAGGGTTTCAGAGAGACGTAGTAAGTGGTGCTACCGCTATTCAGAACTTCAAGGTTCGTTGTCCCTAGACATTCGCTGACTCTTCACCCCATCTGTTGTTGTTCGAGCTGCCCCACATAACCTGTAGTGCATTGCTGTCATACCCAATCACGAGGTCAAGTCCAGAATCCCTACAATAAGCCACAATGTCGCCAAATTCTTTAGACGGAGGAGGTTCCCTTGAATCTCAACAAGGTATGCCCTGTCAGCGCTTCCGTTCTTATATTTAATTCTAACTTCAACTAAGTCCCTAACGGTGAATTCTTTGATTTGCCATGAATTGATTCAGTAATTGCGCTTACTATCCGCAACTAGTAGTAGTAGCAGTAGAAAGATTTATTTAGCACATTTGGCTACATAAACAGAACAATTGTAAACAACTTAGAACTAGTAAATTCAAGCCATATGGTGTATGATGTAAATGCTGGGCAACCTATAATTGTAGATTTAACACGTGATTTCTCAATTTTACTTTAAACTTTGTCAAAGTTTTCTGGTCTTTTATCTCCGAGTATAATTTATTATATTCAATCAACCCTTGATGGAATACAGATTTGTAGCATATGTTATACTTTTTGGTCATTAAATGGAAGTCATCTTTATTTCTGGTATTATGTAAATGATGGTCGACATTTGATGATGTTAAATTAGTTAGACTTGATGGAAATATATTATTTTTTACTTTATAAATGAATATCATTACAAGATATTTGATAAAATTTTTTACATTGAGCCATTTTAATTTGCTAAGTATTTGCCTAATTGGAGTATATTTATCTTTATTTAGTATTATTCTCATGCACTTATTTTGTAAAATTTGCAGTCTTTCAAAAATGGAATTATTTGCTAAATATAGAATAGTCGAACAGTACAAGAAATTTGGAAGAATGATGGTATTATAGATATTTTTTCTGCTATATGAACTCAGACATCCAGAAACTCTCGATAAATATCCCACTTTACTACTAATCTTATTTATAACTTTTCCATAATGAATATCAAAAATTAATCGAGAGTCAACAAAAACTCCCAGGTATTTAAAATTTTCTACGAATTCAATATCTTCACCATGAATATTCAGTTGATCATTTGTACATTGTTTTTTTCCGATTAACAAGGCTTTCGTTTTACTTGCATTTAATTTTAGTCTGTTAGATGTTAACCATTTTGAGACAAGCTTCAAGTCTTCATTTATATAAGAGATACCAGACTGAATATTTTTAGTACTTATATAAATCATAATGTCATCGGCGAAAATTTGAATTTTGCATTTTTTGACTATGGCAGGTAAATCATTTATGTATAAAATAAAAAGAAGTGGTCCCAGGATACTGCCCTGTGGAACACCCAACGTATTTTCAATTTTTGATGAAATAGTGTCATTAACTTTTGTAACTTGCATCCTTTTAGACAAATAATTTCTAAACCAATCTAAAACACTTCCTGTTATACCATATGCCTTCAATTTACCTAACAAAATATCTCTATCAATCGTTTCAAATGCCCTCTTCAAATCCAAAAATACTGATATGACAACTTCTTCTGAGTCTATGGCTCTTCTCCAATTCTCAGTTACCAACTGGAAAGCTGTTTCTGTGGAATATTTTTTTCGAAAGCCTGCTTGCGTCTCCACTAAAATTTTGTTTTCTTCTATAAACTGCATTAATTGGTCATGCACTATGGACTCTAATAATTTTTCAATGTCTGGTAACACATTTACTGGTCTCATATCGCTGCATCTTTTAGAATTTTTTATTTTGGGAACTGGTGTTATTGTAGAGCATTTCAAATTTTCAGGGAAAGAACTGCTTCTCAGTGAACAATTGATCCAATTTAATACAGGATATCCCAAAATTTCGAAACAGTTTTTCAGCACGTTTTTAGTAGTCATTTCGGCACAGTTGTTATTTGATTTTAAACTGTTTACTTTTTTTCTTAGATAATTCAATGATACGCTGTGAAATTTTGAAAGTGTATGCAACATTTCCCCCTGGAAACTGATTTTCATATAGTCAGGTGCAGCATTGGCAGTACCTACAATATCAACAATACTTTCCACAAAATATTCATTTAGTTTGTTTGCAATCACCAAAGAATTTGTTTCGGTACCGTTTTCGAATTGAACTTGATTTACACAATCATGCGGCTTCGAATTGATCAGTCTTTTTAAAGTCTTCCACATCTTTACACTGTCGCACTTGTTATTATCGATTTGTTTATCGTAGAATTTTCTTTTTTCTTCTCTAATTACATATACACATTTATTCCTAAGAGTTTTATATACCTCCCAATCATCATTTGATTTTGTGAATATACATTTATTGTATTGTTTGTCTCTCAAATTTTGAGCTGCCTTAATATTCTTGTTATACCAGGGTGTATTTTTTGTCGAGCAAATCACTTTTTTATCAGTTGCAAGATCTAAACAAGTTTTTATATTTCCTATTATGTTGTCATATATTTTTTCCATATTCTCACCAAAATTCCAATAGCAGTCAGCAAGTTCTCGTTCAAGTTTTTCGTACTTTTGTATCAGAAAAATGCCCTACCAAGGGCAGCATTGTCCAACTGTGATCGCTAACTTTAGGTGTATGTACAGCTTTAATCCCTACACATTCGAAATTTACAATAACAAGATCTAACAAAGTCTCTGATAATGATGTTATTCTGGTACTCTCTTCAATTTTTTGCTTGAACCCAACTGGATAAGGACGTAACGGATTTTCTGATTGGAAATAACCCGCCTATCATTTGTTTGATCCATAACTTTTAGGACACTCCATTTCGTACGATTTCTACGTTCAATAGCCTACAAGGAGATACTAACTAAAACTATATATAAATCTAAATTTTTATTAATGAACATTCCAAAAGCTTTTTCACTATTTTATTTGCTTATTTTCCATCTTTTAATGTACTCAATCATCTTGGTAGGTTCCAAAAATGCCTTTAAGCATGTTAGAAGATATGACATCGCTGATAAATCGGTTGGTTAAGGTCTCGCTTATGCAGGTCTCCGATCTGCTCTCTTGATCCGATTCTATAGTAACGGTAGAGGTGACAGAAGGTCGGTCTATAGTTGCTGATTTTCGTATAGTAGTTGTCTCGATGCTAGCATTGCTACCTGTGTAGTGTATTTTCATCTAGCGGGAACATTCAAAAACATTATGTATATATTGCTGCTGTTTATGTGTAGATGGGTAGAAACCGTGATGAAACTCCTATATACCTGCTCTATCTTTTTTATGCTCCTGCATGACGTTCAGTGTTAATCTTGGTGCATCGCGATGGATTCTACATAGTATGTACCAAGGTATGTAATGTACATTAGAAGCATCAAATTATTGGCCGTGCACTTTAATATCCTGGTTCGTATAGTGACAACGTTTACCACTACTAACAGTTTTGGGTTGCAACATCTAGTTTGATTAAACTTTGAAATATAGCATAAATGGACATCCACGTAACACTATATATCAGTAATAACTGACGTCCTGGATATCTTGTGGCCATATCGTAAAATTGACCATTCCATAAATCATCGAGCATTTGATGAAATGGTTGCATTTCATGAAATGTATCATTGTCTGTTGGCCAGAGCATGATATGTGTTGACCAGGTCAATCACAACAAATCGTTTAATGTTATGATAAATCAAATATTTAACGATGTGGTCAAGCATGTTTGATTAAGTTGTAAACTCTAATAACTCGCTACCAAATGAGAACGAAAACTAGATTAAAGGAAAAAGAAAATAAACGAGTGCGTAACATATTCTGCATTTTTATTAAATGTTCTACGGACACGATACGATAAATCGTATATAACCAAATCGTTAAACGTTGACGATATGGTCTAATTTAGTTTTGGCCATTTCACGAAATGCGACCATTTCATGGGATGCTCGATCATTTCATGAAAAGGTGAATTCTGCGATATGGCCACGATATACGAGCCCCTTCCCTCTTCAGTTAGCCCACTTCAAGATTTGTACCAAAATATGCCTTTATAAACTAAACATGACGAAACTATTTACTTATAACACAATTTGTTTTCTCAAAAACATTTTAGATACAATGTTGTCGTAAAAAATACATATTTTAAATCACTTAGACCTATAACTAATAGAACATCTGAACAAATAAACAATGTGCAAGTAAATGCGCGAAGATAACAAAGCAACAATTGGAAGATTACCATTGGGTAACATCACCTTTATTTTTTATCACGGCTGCAATTCTTTGGGGCATAGTGTTAACCAAGTTTTGGCAAAAATTTGGTGTAAAACAATCCCATATTCCTCGAAGCTTTATTCCATCTATTTTATAGCCGTTTTTGAGGTATGGCACGCTGCACCATCTTGCTGAAACACAAAATCTTGGCCGGATGTCAAACATTCTTCCATCACAGGTAAAAGCGATTCTTCAAAAATTGCCAGATATTTGTTTGTATCCACATTTCCATAAATAAAATGAAATTTTCCTACTCCTTTT